AGAGAGAGAGAGAGAGAGAGAGAGTGTGTGAGTGAGTGAAATGGTAAGGAACTGTGAAAACAGACGTTTAGGCTTTAGATATTATGTAGTCGCTTTCATTTTTTCAGAGTTGACAGTGTATTTAATATTTCGTACAATTCCTTTGCCGCTGTGCTGCGCTAGGCTACACAAAGGTTCTCAGCGTTTGCTACGTCACAACAGGAAATGACAACACAGAAAGCGGAGCAACACAGGCGGGGGGCCACGCCCATCTCACACTTCATAAACAAACCTCTGTAGAAGGTCAGGTGCATGGCGGGAACTGAGGAACAGAGAAAACGTAAGACCTAGCAAATCTGAGGCACAGAGTGTAGAAATATTGTTCGTTGATCTTTGTCTTGATCAGAGATTGATCATCGTAACCGATGTGCCTTACGTTTACAAACAAATATCCGTGTTCAATAATTCAACACAAGCCTGTTTTGAGAAAAGGGGAGGATATAGACCATTCATTTTGTCTTTTCGAGACTGGGAAGATTTCTTTTCCTCCACTTGCAATTTATTTTTGAAATTAAAACTGATTTAACAGTTTTCCCCTTGATTTGCAACAAACCTCTGTCTCCCCCCCACCCCCTATACATAAGAAGAAAACAAATGAACGAAACAAATCAAAACGGACACCCCCTCCCCCTTCCTAGTTTTGCGCAGAGGCTTTCAAGGGACCGAAATTTTTATCTTTTCTAGATTATAGGGGTTTCAACAGTTATAGTTGAGTTCTTATAAAGACATAAATGAATCTCGGATGATACTATCTTACATAAAAATAATTATCAAAAGTAAATATGCACCCATTCGAAACCCCAGGCACGGAACAAAAATATCATTCACAAAGCAAAACAAATGAAAACGAAATAATTCATATGACAAAAATTATGAAATGAAAATGCTCTTGTCCAATGTAATGCACAGACACACATTGTATTCAGCGGACATGAAATTGTCATTCCAGCCACTTTCTAGCATAGCATTCCGGGCCTAAACATGCATCACTGTGGATAAAAGAAGTTACCTTGAGACAAAATTTGGCTACCAAAGAACGGTTCGTAAAAATTCAAATAGTTTTTGTCTACAAAGATTTCACATTGAAAGCTATGATTCGCTCCTTTTCCAGAAGGAAACTGGGACCAGGACACAACATTAAAAAAGGAGCTTAATTCAAGCAATGCCTAACTTACATTTTGCGGAGAAAGAAAACCGGTGTCTTTGGTGTGGCAGTTATGTACTTCGCGAGCGCACGCAGGAGACTCGAGTTCAATTCCCGACTTAGAAGAATTTGTTTCGAGTACCTCGGTTTTTCTGCTGGGATGTCGTACCCCTTTCAGCTCGGGCTGGCCCTCACAACTAAAAGTAACAACAAGGGTCGGAGCCCACCTCCTAAAGTATCTAAATTGTGGCAATGGGGTGTAGAAAGATCCATACTAAAAAAGAAGAGACCAGTTCACAATTCTGTAAGTGTAAGCTCAGCCCACGGTCCTGCTCCAAGCCCTCACACTCACATCACGATAGGACTACGCCAACTTGTATTCTGAATTCCCCGAAACATTTGAATCCTTACGAACTCTAAAGAGTCATTCTATCTACCTATTGTTAGTATGACATTCCTGCAACCACAGGGCAATCCTCTAAACATCGTCAAAATTAGTACAAAATACTAACATTGTCTATCAGTATTCTGTTTCTCAACATGCAGAGAAAAGATTTTCCATAGTTCCAAGTTCCGAGACTTGTTACTATTGATCTTAAAGACTTTACAACAAATGATTAGTAGAACAGAGGTGAAAGCTCTTCCGGGTTTACAGTTTGCAAGAAACTATAAGACCTACGTTCATATGTATGTTTGGAGAATATATCTAGGGGTAATCTTATGTTTTCTTTTTGCGTGTTCGTTGTTTTGAAGGAGATGGATCTAGGAATGATTAAGTGAAAAGAGAGGAGGCAAATATGATTTCAACTGTCACTGCAATACGGTGATTCTACTGCATTATACTTTACATACTAGGAAGGTGTGTTAGTAATTGAAGTTTTGAGATAATGTGAGCGTGTGTGTGTATTTTTCAGAGAGACAAAATGGTACGAATATTATCAGTGTGTGTACCTACTACTTCAAAGTGACTGGATGACTG